ACTTCATTGTGAATAAAAACAGTATTAAAAAATGTGGTAACTTATAGTGTTGCAATTGATAAATACGTATTCTTTGTTTTACTGCGCTAAGCTGCGTGTTTCTTTAACTCCTGCCGGCGTTTTGGAAGTACTGGATATGATTCCCTATAGCTAGGTTAGTTTTTGGGAGTTTTGTGTGGTAACTTCACAATAGGAGGAAGTAGGTTTGTTTTATATGATATGAGTATGCGTTTATCGGTGGGCTGGTCTGTTAACACGAATAGCTAGTTTTTAACTTATTTTCTATTTCTGTGGAAGATCTTCGAATTATAAAACGTTTGTATACATGTGAATATATTACTTGGGAACCTACTACTGCTAGGTTTTTGACTATTTTAGGTGACATGAGTATAATTGGAGACCAAGCTACCTGGCTTGCTTTTTAGAACAGGGGTTGTAGATGATAATGTTTTAGTAGAGATGTATCCTGGGTTCATTTTAGTCAGCTGTGTAAGCTATTGACTGATATTCATCGCTGACTATTTTTCAATAACTTCAAATGCTTACCGACTTTTGCCGGTAGGGCTCGCCAATCAATATACAAGTGCCATAGGTTTCAGTAACTTGAGTATTTTTGAAAATATTTGATTTAAAATGAATCAGTTCGTTAGGTAAGTAAAGTCTGACTTCAGTTACACCTGCTCTCTCTTCATTACTCTACTGACTTGATTGATCTGAAAGATCACGGAACAAGCCCTTATCCCATGATCTTCCCTGGGAAGTATTTTTGTATCCTTGTCGAGATTTTGTCAATCACTCACCTACCGAGAGTGATGTGATTTCCTAGGTAAATAAAGTGGTCAACGTGTCCAAAGGATCCACTCCCTACTGCTAGACAAGCCACCACTGGTAATCAGTCTAAGAGAAGTAACTTGCATTTGGTTGACGAGAAACGCATCTCCAACATCCTCACATTAGGTGAAGGCGCACGACGGGAGGTAGACCTCTATCGACAAGTCTGTGATAAATAAAAAGTTAACATTTTTGCCGGACCCCATTTGACTTACGCAACTCATGATAACAGCGTAGGCTGAAATACTAATAGGTATTCGAGTACAGAGCCTCTGTTAGGGTTACATGCTTACTCGATCTCCTCATAGTAAGACATTGCCATAAGACCTCTCGATCAATAAAGTCGAATACTGTCTACAGGTCAAGAAGTGCAGTTAATATTGGGAGTTGGTAAGTATGCCTGTGGTCGGAACCGTGGCTACGTTGTTGATGCACATGACTAGGTCTGGAACCATTATAGTTTTCTCAGCTCCACTGTTTCCGAGCCTGTTCCATCGCTTTATTAGGTGTTTACCACCAATCACGGTGAATTCACAGACTCTTTCGGTCTACATTTGATTTTAATCCGCTCTTCATCATGATCTGTCTGCCGGAATGCGCTCACATAACCCAATAGTTCAGTTTTCTCTGTCCACTAACCCTTTCTAATCACTTTCTATGAAGTAAAAGCCGGTTTTCACGTATTCGCAGTAGAGTGCAGATGACGTCAGTTTCACTGCCAATGAGTAACATTATATTCCGATAACTGCTAGCCAGTTTATTCCTCAAGACATCCTCGGTATTCCCATCGTCGAACTATCCTTGCAATAGTCTTATAAGCGTAATTTTACTACACCCACTTAGATGAAGTCATGCGCATAATTATCGTCCTAACACTGGTTCCAGTACGACCAGCAATCTTCCACCGACCTTTCAGCGATAACTGGTAGCGCATGGTCTACTGTGTCCACCGGTGAGTCGAGGTCGGTGGATGCCACGTCAGACAATGCTTATCTTTGTATGTAGTTTGTGATCAGATGTAGATGGTTGTTCGAACATAGTTATAGCAGGCTATCACTGTTATCTGTTCTGCTAGGAATCTGTAAGTGCTACCCAAGTGCCTTTCTGCCTTACTTGGCTAACTAATTTGTTTATCGAAATCACCTGCTACGGAAACCGCGTCTAAACGTTTAGCTTTCAGTAGGAGACAGATAGTTTTTGAAAAGCTCATCTTTCACTTTGTTCTCGCCATCGGTTTCATGTTGGAGCTCTCAACATCAGAACTCGATGCCGAATCGACTAGTAAGCATCGCTTGTCTGAACTACGGAATCTGTAGCCATGGATGTATACTGTGTCTACGAGACAGGTATACAGAACCAGAGTGCTTATTAAACTGACGTTACCTGGTCATTATGGTGAACTTCCAAAAATTACCTTACGATTATCCTCAGACCCAATAACTAGCTCTCGGGGCTGGCTAGTAGTAGGCACAGAATTGAGTTGCAGAGCAGAAAGTGCACTTTTTAACTGGATACCAGTCGACTGCCATCTATTTGCTGCTTGACTGATCGGATCTGTAAGAACTAGGAAGAATCGTGAGACTAGCCGATGCTATTTCGTAATCTCCGCCTACTTACCCACTGACTGCAGTTCGGGTGGTCCAGAGGATGCATTCTGTGAAAAGCCATCCATTTTGCTGCGGAAAGCGAAACGTTCAGATATAGTCATAATGGCGGATGACTTTAACTCTCAAGTAGGAAAGCTGAACTAATTGGAGGTATTTACGGAATCTCGTCCAGACAACTGGCAATAGTGATCGTCTCTTGCAATTTTGTTCTGAAAACCACTTGCTTCTGGCCAGCACTAACTTCAGGCATAAGTAGAGACACTCTCACTTGGCGTCCGCCGACATCAAACAAACGATGGACGCAGATAAATCATATTGCTATGTGTCATCGTTGGAGAGGATCAGTGGAGAATCACTGCTCTTTCTGGAGTACCCATTTGGACTCCGATCAAGGATGTGTACGGGCTCGTGTATGTGTGCACCTTACTGATCGCAGAAAACGCGGTAGTAAATCCTGTTTATCGTCAATTGAAAGACGGGGACGCGGACTACATATTTAGGAAGGTGTTAGCTAAGCATTTATCTGGACATGACAACAATGTTAATCCTGAGGAAGCCTGGTTTGATGTTCAGTCTGTTGTAGAAACAGCTGTACAGTTGGCAACCCAAACATGGTTAGTAAATGTCATTAGATTTCCGCAGTGTCATCCTTACTGACTGATGCGAAAAAACTGGTTCTAGCTGACTTTGACCACGATAAAGTATGAAGGCTACCTAGACATAAATTGACCAAGTCTTCGCGGTGATAAGTAGCGAGAACGAGAGAGGTGGAGAAAGCATCAGGATTCAGTAAAACCAGGCAACTACTTAGGCTTATTAAAAATACCAGCAAAAAGAAAACGATGGTTAGTGAGACAAGCACCGAGAACGGTAGGACGCATATAATTTTCCATGACAGGCAGCTAAAACTTTGGGCTCAACACTTTAAAGCACGGTTCAACTTGTCCTCAGAAACGCTTCAGTTGCCCAACATCCAGCCCGAACCTGAATGGCATATAGATGTTGGTCCTCCAACTCTTCTTGAGGTTGAGAAAGTTGTATCGAACCTGAAAGGATTCGAAGCAGCAGGACCTGACAGTTTGCCACCAGAAGTTTTTAAGTATAGAGGTGGTTAATTACTGAGTAGTTACAAAGGTGCTAAGTAGTTTATGGGGACCAGAGGTATTCTCATCACAATGGTTTGCTTCACGGATCAGTCCAGTCTGTAAGAAGGAAGAAAAGTGTTCTGGTGACAGTTATGGTGGTGGTTAATTTCACTAATGTCGTGTCCCAGTGTCGATTGTTATCCGACACCTAACTGGAGCTCTAGAAGAACAAACTCGAGAGAACCAGGAAGGTTTCAGACCTAAACGAGGATGCATCGATTATATTTTCGCCCTTCGACATGTTTTGAAAAGAAAACATACTTACTGGCAACCGAAACTTGCCGTATTTGTTGACACGAAAGCGACATTTGACTCTGTCGACCATGAAGTGTCGTGGCAGGGTGTAGCTGCAAAGGGAGTACAGAACAAGTATATGGTGTCTATCAAAGCTGTTTACTCGAACTCATACAGCATCGTAAGACCATATGGGTGGTTATCATCTGAATTGATGACAGCCATTTGTGTGAGGCAGGGATGCTTGTTGTCGCCGTTTCTATTTAACTTCGTTATAGACTTACTGATAGACATAACTTTAGGCACGTCTGACTTCACAGGGATTGACATACTCCCTGGAGACCGTCTGCTTGATTTAGATTATGGAGACGACATTTTCCTCCTAGGTAAAGACTGCAACAAAATGCGGGGTCTTATGAGCAGAAATCTCAGTATGTTTGGCATGCCTCTCTTATCTGTCAAATATAGGTTTACAACTTCATGAATTAACTTACTGACTTGAAGTATTTTCCAAAATTCAAGATTATCCACTCTAGTTCGACCAAGTACAAAGAATGCTCTAAATATGCCCATGTTAGATTACCTGCAGATGCTCATATTTTAGTAGCCATACAACATGGCAAAGTAGCGCATAGTGTACTCTGTTATTTTAGAGAAACGGGAATCTGATATAGTTGTTTTGTCCGATGTTGTTAGAGACAGAGTAGTAATAAGTATATAGATCTCCCAATGACATATTTGTGCATATTTCTAATTTAGTAACGAATCAGTTACAGATAATGTACATTGCTTTGCTCGCAACCATTTTAAAGACTTATTTCACATGGATCTATCCTAACCATCTCATTCTTTATCTTACACGTTTTACAACTCCCGATTTCACTATTATTTTCTTCCTGTTTCCTCTTTTTAAATTTCTCCTCATTATGGAGTATCGCAACTTAAACCGATATGTAAATACTCCAGATTATAAGCCATAACTCATCACAGCCGTTAATGAGCGTATAAATGCTGTCTACAAAATCTCAATGACTTTTCCATGGTTTTTTTTCATGTGGGCTACCGGTATACTGTACCTACTGGGTAACTGTTTCACTAGTTATCATTAAAAATTTATTTTTCTGCAAAATAGAATGAATTTAAACAGCTAACGAGTACATTTTTGTCATATTAACCGTAGATCATGGTGGATGTCCCCTTACTTACTCATGTATCTGAAACTACAGAATGTAGTTCTTCTTCTTGCCCAGCCTCGTCTGCATCAGAGGATTCTGTTCCCGAAGGTTATTTGATTTTGACATTTGACAAAAAAAAGAAGGCTGTGTTGAAGACTGCAGTATTTGCTGACGTTTCTGATCCTCGCTTTGCGGATGAGTAAGTCAGTCAGTATGGTATTTTCTTTTCCATAGTTTTGTTAATTTCCCTCATTTTTGTAATGAACGTGTTTATTGGAAGTAACAACTATCCCTTGTGTACAAGGTATTCTTTAAGGTGGTTTTCTGTGGTATACAATCTGCAGATTCAGTTAAATGTACGAATTTGTGAGTTAAGAAACCACCTGATCTTACGAAATTATAACATACTAGTTTAAACATTTAGCGTGTAGCCGGTGGAACATTAATCAGAAGCCTTACCACCTACTGAAGCTCTGGATTAGTATGGAATAATGCCTACCTTAATGCATTTTTATTACCATTTAGTGTTAACTTGATCATATTAGTGAGAGCTCATTTCAGTAATAGGTGATAAAAATACCCTCGAATGCTAAATTGTTTTATACTGTCATTTATTCGACTAGAATTTGAAGACATTTGTTACTTGAGTGTATTTGGTCATTAAGTTTGAAGGTATATGGAAATATCTACTCGACATTCAAGTAAATTTCTTTAGTTGAACACCAGTAAATTGAATTTTCTGTATAATAACGTATCTTATCATTTACTTATTTGCAGCTATGATGATGATGACGATGAAAACGATGATGAAGGCAGATATAACAGCAACGATTGGCCTACTCCTGAATCCAAGTCGACCGTTTGTCATTTAAAAACTGATGGAGAAAACGTGAACGAAGTTCTAGATGACAACAAACGATCTTTTCCCAAACCTCTTGTAATATCTACAGAAGCGGTTGCTAAAAGTTGCAATTCATCTTATACTTCCTGCTACGGTGAAGTATTTTGGGTTGGTGAAGATGAATCTGATACTAAAAAATTGGATAATATTAGTTCATCTTGGGATCCTACACGTAATAACATCAAGACTTTTCATAGTTTAATACGTACCAGTCCTCTGTCATGCGATACTTCGTTATTGACTCCGAATTCAGCTTTGAAGTCCTCTGCTGAAAGTTGGTCTTTAAGCACACCTCAATTAAACATGAGTTGTTTGACCGGGAGTTTTCCTTCACGTAAAGTCATACTACCCAATAATCACCTTCCTAGAAAGTATACTCATCATAGTTTATCTACTTACTTCCAGCCTAAATGGTCTCGGTCATTTAATGGCCATTTTAGTGATCATTCCAAAAAGATGCTTAGATGTGATCAGTGTGGTAAATATTATCGTAATGACTATAGTTTGCATCATCACATTTGTTTAAAGCGTAAAGATGTGTGGAAGAAAGGTGATGTACCTTCAGAAATGATTGATGGTCAAGTTATGTATTTTTGTCCTAGTTGTCGTAAGCCTTTCAAATGGCTCGGTAATTTGACGCGTCATTTCTATGTTCATACAGGTCAACGTTTTTTTCGATGTGATATTTGTTCTAAAGAATTTTTCTCTGCTTACCAAGTGAAAAGACATATGAACTCTCATACTGGTGTTCGTTATAAGTGTGAAGTATGTGATAAACCTTTTACGTGTAAATATGCCTGTGCATGGCATACTCGACAGCATTATGCCTATTCATCAAAATGATAATTCTGAAGCATCACTTTTTATCCTAGTTCAGCATCGAATATATTAAATATTTTGGACGTTCCAGTGGCACTTATATGTGCATGCACACCTGCATATCTTGCACAATATCTTATTTTTTATACTCTTAGAACTTCAATGTTAGCTGATTTTCTAAGTGCTTTGCGTCATATACATTCGGCTATAAATCACATAAATTACGTATGTGCCTTCATTACAATATAGTGTGTTTGCCACTTCTAACTAGTACATATTTTTTAATATTCTGCAAATTCATATTTGCCTTACATTTTCTAAAAACTTCTGAGAGGTTGCTCAATGGACGATCTGGGGTTATATCCCAAGAATAATCTACTTTTTATATAAAACAATAACTTGCACCTTAGTTTTAATACAATTTTGATTCTTTTAATGTATGTGATTGGTTCTGGGGTGCACATGTATGCTCTGGAAAAACCTATATACTTCCACCTATGAGTCTGTTTCATATTTTTTTGTAATTTTTGGATTGCTGAGTTTTTTGTAACTATTTTTTATACATAAACTGCTTCACACTACTTGTTACATTATGTGTAACACTTACACAAAGAAATCATTGTAAGAGTTTCGTGATTTCTAACCTCAGTATTCCCATATGATCCACTTACCCTATTACTCTGTGCCTTGCTTTATCTAATTGTTTGTTTTCGTTTATTTATTTGTTCGTTTGTATGTACGCGGTTTTTGTATTGTCTTTTTCTTCTTGGTTATATCAATCTCTCGCGAAATCGGTGATTTTTGTTCGGTTTATTGTTGCTATACTGTGACTAACAAGTTTAATAACTATAGAATATGACAGAATCTTGGCATAAAGTGTTCGACTGGTCTTTACTAGCTTGTATCACTTGTAGCGTTGGTATGTTTGGTTATCTATCTATATTAAGTATACTGTTTAGCACCTCGATCTTATTCCATATATATATAGAACTTGGATTTCAAGGGAAGGGCAATTTAAGGTTTCAAAAAGTTGATCACTTCGTTTCGTAGTGAAACAATCACGTTAGATTTGTGGAAACTACATACAGTCTCAAGTTCAAGAGTTAAGTCAATTAGTGCAATTATAAACCTTCATTGTTTATGCTGATTGGAATATGTATCTCAAAATGCCGGTTATCCTCAGCTAATAATGTTAGCTACCGTAGGATTAGATTGGAGAAGAGTTTAACGTGGTCACACTTATACGGCATTAATTCACGAAGTTTTGTTGGTAATCTGATCTCTTTATCGTATAATAAGTGGGGTCCTCTAGACAACCGGTATTTATTGTTCCACGCCCAGTCAAAGCTTTGACAAGCTTCAGTTTTCGTCCAACACAGTTGTACTGGTATTATGAATCCTGGTATGTGATGTCTTGGATTGGATAGCCATATGAGTCGGCAAAGATTCGCAATTCCGCTAACTGACTTATCTTTCTGGTCTAGCACACCAAGCCTGACTTACACATTGTTCGTCTGAGTGAATAAATCGCAATTTCCTACATTAATAGGTGTGGTGAATATTGAGTTCTAAGGTGAACCCGGTATAAAACGAAGTACTTACAAACAGTTTTGAGCATGTTAGTTCCTTTCAGTTTTAGCTCAATATGTTATCGAGTTAAAGTTGTCTTTCAATTGTCCGGACGGAATGTATCATGAGGTAGTGAAGCAGAAATAAGCGATGCACTCAATAAATAAAAAGAAATGACTACCTCGTGGTTGCTATTACTCAGTCGTTTTATTCCTAGCGGTAGGAAGTTTCATGGTACCTGTCTCGTATGTGAATCATCATACACGGCGTGATAAAAACGTGATCTTATTTATTTTTACTTGTCTAGTAGGTCCTTATCATTCTAATACTAAACCACACTATCCAGATTAGCAGGAGGTTGCATTTCATATGCAGCAGTTAAGAGCTTATCGAGTTGAGATAGCGGAGGACTATCTGGTTTGTTAATGCGTTGAAAACGAACGTCACCAATTATTGTTTATTCAGTATCACTGGTCTCAGTGTTTACAATAAAGTGAGCTTGCCGTAGAGTAGTGACTGCATGTAGACAGGAACAAATGGGATACCATATACTCTTTTATTATCAGACCTCACCATATAGTGTGATTTACTTAAGTGTAGTCTATCACAGAAGGTGCATGACAGTGTGTAGCATGGTACCATTGCATTGCAATTTATAGCAACTGGAACAATATTAAAAATCGTATCAACAAATGAAAACGCATTGAAGCAATTCAGCTTAAGTAAAATCGTGACTTAAAGATGGCTTGAACTTTTAAAACACTGAGTTCGGAAACGTGGTAACTAAATTAATTTACCCGTGTAACAGACGTAAATAACGACTATTAGCGCACTAGGATACTCAAACAATATGAGAACAACGTTTATTCATCTCGGTACTTTGTACATCAATGAGCTGCGTAAAGATCAAAATGCATGACTCCATATTTTACAGCAAAAGAAGTTACTCTAAATATTAATTATGGTGGTGATGCGACTGGTTAGTTTTCTCTCCGTGTCCAGTGAAATACTAGACCATTCAGTGGTATTCTGCACCTGTCGTTTGAAAATTCGTTTAAGACTTCAATTCCTACTCTTGTTCCTTCCCCATCAGTTCATCCAGTGAAAAGTATGAGGTTTTCTAAGATATGTTTGTATATCATTCGTTGTGACGCTGATCTACGAGTAAGAATGAACAGTAGTTAGTATTCGTTTGACTACGAAATAACTAGCGTATGAATCAGGACTTTAAGTATCATATTTTACATCGTGTTAATTATCTAATCCTGCATTTGGTGTGCGTATGTGAACCGCTTCTGTTGTCTTACATCCACTTGATACATTTTCTTTAGGATCGGTTGCTGCTCAGGTACCCATTGTGGAGGTGAGAAACGAATATCCGTCTTACATCTGATTTATCCTTAAGATTCAATTCTTTGCCCATGATGACGATTGAGCTGTCTTTCTATGTTCATATTTCTCTGCCATTCTACTAGATATAACTGTACGCAAGGCACCTTAGACTCTGAATATGATCGATGTAAGGCCGTCGGATTCGGCGAAAAATGGCAAAGGAGAAAAAATGTATGTGTAGTTCCGCTACTTGATGATCTTCCCTTTTCTTTTGCGAATGTTTTCTTACCGTACTGATAGACTTTCCTGCTTAACTGTGGGTGGTATACAGAGACTGTAAACATCTGAAAATGACTACAATATCAATTGTGTACCACTGCTTGCATTTAGTCGGGATACTCTACTACATGAAACCCAGTATCCTCCCAAACGCATACTACTTTTTATCATTTTTCGCAGGAATTCATCATCTATTACTTTTTCTCAGTATTTCCTTCTCAAGATGTTTTATTTACCTACTGTCAAGAAATATGGCGAATTAATCTTTGAAGTAGTTGAAAAATATCTTGTCACTTGAAGACTTTGTTTGTGTTGTAGTTTCTGGAGTAGGCAATTTGCTGACTAAGTTCACATTGCCACACAAAACAAAATCGACAGATTTCTAGGAAACCACTAAAAGACCTTAATCATATATATATGTATGTCAGTGATGATGTTTCATTGTCTGACCTTACAAGTGTTTATATTTTTCACTCCGTCGAAATCGGAATGTACTCAGCAACCTTGTGCACATTCCGTGGAGTGGGCAATCAGTCACATCTATTATGTGAGCGCTAGTGATACTAACTGGCTGCCCAAACATCGGTAGGTGGAGCGGTGTTCGAACCTGTGACCCATTGGTTGAAAATCGTCTCTCTAAACAAATGAACCAAAAACTCACTTGTCATTTGATTGGTATATTCAATTTATTCTTTTTGATGAACGATTGGTATAAAGGTCTCGATTTAAAATCTTAACGTAGCAGTTATGGAGAGAAATCAAAGCTTTATCATTAAACTATACAGTTTAGAAAACCTAATACCAATAAGAATAACGGATACACTAGTATCACAGAATGCGGAAAATGTTCACCTCAAAGAACTTTTATAATTTTAACATGTGGCTAACCTTCAAATATCATCTAATTAGGAAAAGTGAATGAAAGATAAAACAGTCTGTGGAAAAATAGAAAGATAATATCTGTTGTTACTGGGATGAAGTAAAATGCATTTTGAACAACTTAGAAAATAAAATCCAATGATATAAAGTTTAAAAAAAAGGAAGAATAAAAAATACAATAAAAAAGATTCGACAGCATATAATAACCATAAAGTGAGTAATCGAAAGAAAGTTTTCTATAGAAATAACACTGTGAACCACAATAGTGAATGACAGGAAAAGGGATTGTTTCACTTCCTTTGGTTTTTCCCTATCTTACATATTCAATACTTGAAGCCCTTTATTGATGAAAATACATCTGAAAACATAAAAACAACATATAATTGTTTCAAGAGGAGCACATATATTTGTTGATTACAATAGATTTATTAGCACTAAACTTAATGTGTACCATGTCCTTAGCATGATATAATTTTAAGAATTATAAACCTTGTTCAATGTGTATTTCATGTTTATTCACATACATAAGCAAGGTAGACGTTCAGTAGTCAGTGCCAATCACTAGTGAATTTCCAATAGTCCAGGAAATGATAAATTCTAAAGTGCAATCAATAAAATCTCCACAAACCTCGAAACTAAATTATTGTTCAGTGCTCATTAATGACATGCTTCGAGTTGAGATTTCCTGAAGTTCCAGTGATAAGTTACCGGTGAGGGCAAATGAAGTCGGACATGAGTGTGGGTACTCAACGACAGTATTGAATGAATGTCCCGCTATATCGCAAACTGATAGAAGTAAGAAAATGTGGACCGCTGGATCCCGAACCAGCAGCCCAATGCAAACGTGCGCATGGAACCTGAAGGTCCTAGATGCGTACTGCTGAAAAGTTCGGCAGTGAGATGAAACAGCCATCCAATGCTCGCAAGTTTTCAACGGTTCTGCAGCTGATATTAGTTCGTGGTGG